TCTGTAATCTTTGACCGGAAAGTAAAATCATATTCTCTTGCTTTTTAGTTCCTAGTCTTGAATTTACAATCTGTGACAGGTTCGGTTATGTACTTGTTTCGAGGTGAATTTGGCTGTAAGCTTTACACTGGGGATTTTCGCTGGGAAAAAACGGGTGTCCGGGTGGAAAATGCAAAGTCCATGCTACTGGATGCTCTAAAAAATGACACGTTGGATGTTTTGTACCTCGACAATACATATTGTAACCCGACGTACACATTTCCTTCTCGTGAAGTTGCTGCCCAGCAGGTGCATGTTCTAACTTCTAATGCCGATTTGTTGTTTGGTGGGACTGAGCTTAGTACACTGTACCACTCCACCTTGTTCAGAAGATGAATCTCTTTGCACATTTATTCTACTTCAGATGATGAATCACTAGCATTTCATGACCTGTCACAGGTTGTTGATATCATCAAATCTCATCCAAATCATGATGTCGTTATTGGAATTGATTCATTGGGCAAAGAAGATCTTCTGCTCTACATTGCACATACACTGGACATAAAGGTACATCCATTTGATGAAATTATCTATATATCGATGAATAACCCTGAAGTTCGACAATCTTTTGATGCGATTTTCATCTCTGTTTGATGTTCGAACTGTCGAATTTTCATATCCATCTATATGACAGCCTTTAGATATTCTAGATGTTTTAACTGCCTATTTTCCATTCTCTTAGACTTACTTTGTATTGTTTAGACTCGTATAATCGCTGATAAACTTAATTCTCGATGTGAATGGGTTACTGTTAAATTCATCTAGATTCAATAACTGGTCCTTCTTACGAATGTTGTCATAAGGAGTAAAGATTCACATTTTTTACAGATTTGGGTTTGGCCGGAAAGACTACAAATCATGCACTTGCTTGGATTCCACAAAAACTTCACAACACAAACCTCCCTCACAAGAGTTCGTGCCGTGCCTCGTTACAGTTTTACCACCGAGACCCTCGAAAGTCTCAACACAGTCCGCCCGACCATTGGAATCATGCCATCTGGACTTCCGTGGGCCACAAAACAGAACACGAACCCTTTCGGGTCATCTTCAGCAAATGGTAAAATGACTCACGAGCACATATTCGTAGTCCCATATTCAGACCACTCGTGCTTTCCCGAAATACAAGAATTTGTCGAGCTTCTGAGGCCGGTCCATATCAGGTCCATCGTGTCCTCAGGTTCGTCGTGTTGTGTTGACCCGTGTTATTACTTTGACCATCTCTGTGGGGCCAAACAAGCGTTTTGGAGGGTACAAAGGCAGCTCGGAAAGGAGGATGTGATGGAAAGGTTTGATTGTTTAAAGGAAATAGCAGAAGTTACAACTTCGAGTGTGGTGCGCCGGAAGAGAAAGTTTGACCAGGTTGACTTTTTCGGTATACGTGTGAGTAGGGTTAGCTTGTTGAGGAGGTCGAGCCGTGGTGTTAAGATTGTGGACACCCAGTGAGCGTCTTTCTCGATCACTCCGGTAGTTAAGTTAACTAGTCATGCACCTTATGGTTGGTAAATTGTCTTTTAGAAGTGTAATTGTTGATAGCCACATCTTCACAATATTTTCATGAGGTCAAAAAATGGATATGTAGCCAACTGTACCTACAATTTTGAGGCCTTGTGTTATATTTTCGTTTTTCCAATGTATTTGAGAAAAATGCTATATTTAAGACAACCTATGGGTTAATCATATGGATCTGTCAATTCTTTCAAAATGAATATATATATATATATACTTACATTATGAAATATTATATTTTGTTAATATTATTTTTTAAATATAAATTTTGTTTTTTTTTTCTTTTATTTTTCACGTAAATATGTGCATGTTCAAATGCTTTGGAAAATTTTGAAATTTAACCTTATGAATCTGCAAACGAAGTCGCTCGCAAGCACTCGAGTCAAAGCTCAACTCGAGCTCGAATTTGATCGTGAGCTCGAGCGGCTCGAGCACGAACTCGAGTCGAGCTCGAGCCTATATTTTGCTTTGTCGAGCGGCTCGTCGAGCAGTTCAAGATACACGCTAAATTAAAAAAATATCCCTTATTATATATATTAGCATAAATACTTAATCGTAATTTTACCTTTCCACTTAAAATTTTTTTAGCCGAACTCGAGCTCGACCAGCTAAAGAAAAAAAAAACCCAATCTTGCACGATAAGGTCAATACTCGACTCGACTCGGCTCGGCTCGTTTGCAACTTACTTATGATTATCTCACTTTGATAATTATTTTATAGAGAGTTATTGGATTGCCATTATTTAGTGCAAAATTACAAATAGTTCCCATATCCAAATGATGTGTGGCACTACAAAAGTGCCTTATCTAATTATGCCTGTGGTCGTCCGTCAACCACACGCCCCCATTCAAATCACAAAAACCAGTCGAAATAAACGGAACAAGAAAACCTCAAAACTCAAACTTGCCCTCCTATGGCGTCCTCATGTACGCTATCCCCCGCCATAATCCCTTCTCAGGTACTCCGACAAACAGCAGTCCCAATTTGTTCTTTCACTTGAAACTGCTATTTTTATTTGTTTTTTTTTTTTTTTTGCCATTTTTTGTTTGTCAATTTGTAGCTGTGCTCGAGCAAGAATGGGGTGAACTCGGTCTCGAACGTCGCGCTCCCGAGATTCGGTAGCGGCAAGAGGATGAAGGTTTCGTGCATGGCGACGAGCGTGCCGGCCGATCGTGTGCCCGACATGGGAAAGAGGCAGCTCATGAATTTGCTGCTATTGGGCGCCATATCTCTTCCCTCTGCTGGCATGTTGTTGCCTTACACTTACTTCTTTGTTCCTCCAGGGTCAGCTCTCTCTCTCTCTCTCTCTCTCTCTCAAATTATCTTTACTTGTCATGTGATTTATGGACTAGATTTGATGGTTGATAATTAAATTGAACTGTTTGAGCTTGATAATTGTTTGGATTAATTGGCTGGTTTTATTCATTTGTGGACAGATGATGTTGATTTGAGATGTTTTAGCCAATGTGTGCTATCTTGATGATATTCTTGGTGTTTGCATATGGAATTTGAATAGTTTATTCGTGGATTAACGCTGTGCTGCTGCCAAATTAACAAGATATATTTGCTATTGTGAATCTCGACAGAGCTTGTGTGCGATGGAGTTTGAAAAAACACACGAATTTGGCAGAGAATATTGCATTGGTGGCTCCATATGTTGTGTAAAAGAACTAGAATCACTTATAAGCATTCAAATTATTGATTTGAGTTATTAACCGATATAATGAGAATGAGAACCAATTTTCATACTCATCATTCAAGAGCTTACCCTGTATCATGCATGTTGTACTTTCCCTCTGAGCATATGTGATCTATTGTTTTTTTTTTTCTTGGAGCAATCACATTTGTTTTACAGACTCTATGTTAAGTTTTCTCTTAATACATCTATTATTGGTTTCAGTTTGTTACTACTATTTATATCCACTAAACTTGACTAGTTTATCACGAACAGTGGTGGTGGGTCCGGTGGAGGTACCGTAGCAAAAGATGCTTTAGGTAATGATGTTATTGCCGAGCAATGGCTCAAGAACCATGGACCAGGTGATCGGACCCTTACGCAGGGACTAAAGGTAAAATATTCGTTTACTTCAATGAATTCGAGTAATTGCAGAAAACCTCTGTAGATATTACGAGTACTATTATTGAATCATATAGACTATTAAATTGGTTTTTTTTTTTTTTTTTTTTTTGATGATTTTTTAGGGTGATCCCACGTACCTCGTTGTGGAGAATGACAAAACACTTGCGACGTACGGTATAAATGCCGTGTGTACCCATCTCGGCTGTGTCGTCCCATGGAATGCGGCTGAAAACAAGTTTATTTGCCCCTGCCATGGATCTCAGTACAACAATCAAGGAAGAGTTGTTAGGGGACCTGCTCCTTTGGTAAGCCGACTTAATTATAATCTCGAAAAAGAAAAAAGAAGTAAAGAATTAAAGTGAAAGTTAGCAAAACAAAAGTTAGCCTCTTGTGAAGTTATAGTTTTGACACCAAGGGGATATATTGGTTTGAGATTCTTAAAGATTTGCTGGGATTTGAAGAATTTCTTGTATTTAATTGATACTTTTTACGACTTTTAATAACCTTGAGGTATTTCATTTTTGAGATTTCAAAAAATTTTAACGAGATATTTAACTTATTCGGCACTGGGATTTACTATGGGTTTTTGATATTTGCTAATAATAAAATCTTATAGGAAATCCAACTTTAAATCCCATCTTCAGACTTAAAAGTTTCCTACGCTTATATTGTCTTATATCTCGGTGCAGTCCTTGGCGTTGGCTCATGCCGATATTGATGATGGTAAGGTCGTTTTTGTCCCGTGGGTCGAGACAGATTTCAGAACTGGTGAGAACCCATGGTGGTCGTAAAAGTCTTGAATTTTCATTTGATAGTGTTTGTGTCGTATATTATTCACATCGACGTTTATCTTTCGTGAATGAATCTGTTGTTAATTGTTATAGACAATTCAGAATATAGTCCTCTTATCATTGAATGTTATTCTATTGTGAATAAATCTTGATGGATTATTTGTGACTAATTTGGGGGAGTTAAAAGGATGTGCCACGGGCTTCATGTTAGTGGTTTTGTGTGGTTGTATTATGATAAGTTAGCTTCATAATTAAAGTCATCAGCCAAAGAACTGAAGGATTTGGTTCAAATGAGCTTGTTTAAAATTTGTTCAGTTAACGACTGATTTCAGTTCGGCTCGTTAAGACTTGGGAATGGTTATGCAGAAGCGTGAACGTAAGGGAAGAAGAGATGAAACGTCAATACGCAAACACGATCAAATCCTAATTGTCCAAATTCACCGATTGGCTTATGAGGGATAGCAGATAATACGTAAAGTCCTACCAAGCTACTTATCTTGCCTAATAACTTAGGCCAAATATTTATTTACTTACCAAACTAACAATATAAACTAAGGAAATAATATTAATAAGAGGATCAATAGTAACAGGAAATGAATAATTTAAATAAGAAGTCAATCATATTTATGTAGAAATGCAATCGTGGTCTCGTCTCATAGCCTTTACATAGTTTTCTAATATTTGGTTTTTGTTTTTTTTTTTTAGTTTGACTCATTAAAGCTCGAGTTTATCATATTAAAAAACGAGCGGCCCAACTCGATCACGATTCGAGTATCAAAGAAGAAAAAGCTATTAAAGAAGAAAAAGCTAAATTAATAATCATAATAGTTATTTCCTTGAATCTTCAAGGGAGATAAAAGTCATTCAATTTTTTTTTTCTCCTTGTGATGTGAACAATTTTTGGATTATTCTCGTGGAAAGCAAATTTGGAATAGGCTACAGAACAAACAATAATTGGACTTAATCATGTGAAATGTAGGGATAGAATAAATCATTTTCATAATTTTTTTATTCTACCTACAGTTTTAGTAAAATAAATCTTCAAAAATAAAAAAAATAAAAAAATAAAAAAATTCCTTACACAACTGCTTAGATAAGTTTTCTTTCCTTTTGTACCATTTAATGTATTAAATTTAAAGCACTAAATTGGTCACTTGTGTAAATAGACCAGTCAAAGATCAAGAATTTTACCCAAGAGCGTTTGGATGAGATAGCTTGAGTCTCTTCCAGCTTAATCAGTGGTCTCGTGTTCGAGCTCTGGGAATGCAGCAACGTGAAAACTCTTGAGGGAGAGCTTTGCCGTCCTTGTGGTCCTACCCGGCGATTAGTCGGTTCCCCTGTAGATCCGGAAACCGAAAGGTCCCTTTAAAAAAAAATCAAGAATCTTTCTCTTTTGTCAATAAACAATCCTGTTTATTGTTGGATACTAATTTTTTTAAATAAAAAAATTGTTCCACTAAAGAATAATGATAAAAAATTATAAAAATTGTTGAATAATTTTTTTAATCCATTATATTTTCTTTGGTATATTTTTTTTTTGGTACATTATTAATCCATTATTGGCTTTATAAAAATAACATTCTTCCAAGCTGTTCCACTCTGTAAGCTTTATTCTAAAACAAAGATCAATAGTT